TGAGGAGAGTGAAATCGTACGGGAAGGTTGTGTCATGTTTGATGAACGCTGCAATATCCTAAATGTAGCCTGTTCGTGGCACCCGCAGGATGGAGATTTGAATTCGGCAACATAAGCATCAACTGAGATAGCTATACCCAAGCATATGTGTTTCTATTGTATCTAGACGTACATTTTCGATGAATACCACATAAACAAGGATGTGCAATAACCTATCCCAGGAGCTCTCTCCTCTTCACTTTAAGTTGGCTCCGTAGTTGGTACGTCTTAATGTTATATAAATGCAGCGCATATTTTCATTAAGTTTAGGTGTTGGAAGTCTTTTCTCTCATTGTAGTCGTACGATCCTCACATGAACGTGAGATATATGCATAACGCCCAAATAGTTTATCTGGCTGACTGAAGCGCGTGCTCGTTACCTACGCCAATCTCTCTAAAGTCTCAGTACCAGAACCCGTATTGGTAATATCCGAACTTGTCATTTACTCGCATTTTCTAGATCAGTTCATCAGAGATCTCGAACTCAATCTCACGAAAGCAGATATCGCAAAGCCGGTTAGTATAAAATAGTCGGGAATTGTCAGAAACGTGTGCTCAACTTCTCATATTACCTTGATTAATAAAATAAAGTCATTTTTAAATGACTTACTGCAGATATGGCTTGCATATAAAGAGCAAACGGACGGAATCACAGCTCTGCATTCATGGTCTCTGCAACCGTTTGAAGGTAACCTTAGGATAAACTCTTTGAAATCTTCTTAATGTAATTTCTTATGCTGAAACGGAGCAAAATATTCAAGCTCACCATCCTGACTACTACGTGTTTGGCAACGATTCTACTCCTCTTCAAGAGCAACTGAATACAGTAGCTTTGATTTACACCTATTTGTTATTATGTTGTTTCGATCTTATTTTCAGGCCCTGGAGTGGCTCAAAATGGATGCCTTTTCACGACCGGGTTTGATTATGATTTACTGTAAAGAAACTCTTAAAATTCTTGAGAATGTTGACGAATCAGTGGTTAGTTAGTGCTACTTTTCGCAAAAAAACGTGGATTTTCAATCTTTGGTATAGGTACAGAAATCGCTGGCAGAGGTCGACGGTATCCTTGACCGGTTCTTTGGTGAACTTAACAGAGAGGCAATTTTAGATTGCGTGAATGTGGTTGTATTGTCTGATGAAGGTACTTATTGAGAAAGTAAAGATATCTTACTTTATTTGATCCATAGGACTAACTAACGGACTTACTATGATGGATGTACATCAATATAGCAGCGGCTACAATGTATCCAATCCCAACCCACTTACTACCATCCACGCTGTAGAATCTGGTGATTAACCTAAATATATTGCTCCATATTCAATATCATAAATTTGAAACTTCAGAATTTAGGCAAATTCAATCGCAGTTTTACATTTTCCTGCTCAAAGGAAAACAGCAGGAAAATCTTTTTACCATCTACTTTACCCACTCGCTGGCACAGCAGCTTGAGTGAAAACAGTGGTGATATTCTACTTTCAACCACGCTAAACGGTGGAAAATGCCGGTATGCTAAAAGTGGAGAAGCGATTAGCCAATATCCATATTACTCTTCCATGCTCTAGAACTGTAAAATATTACCAGACATGTTGACACTGAATCTGATTGCCCCGATGAAGGAATGCAAACATTTTTTTTTGCTCAAGGACCATCATTCAATAGCGGATTGGTTTTACCTAAGATTCAGAACATCGAACTTATGAATTTATGGCTAGGTGCTACTCCCATTTTCTTACTAATCCTTGTGTTAGCAGATTGCAATTTAGATCTGTTGAACATGCATTATCTGCCCAATAACGGCACTATTGGGATCATGGACGAAGCTCTTAGAAAGCCTAAAAGGCGAGAAAAGAGGAGACGATTTGGTATTAGGTAAGCAATGAAGCAAAAAGTTTAACATTGCATCTTATTCGCAACACTTTGACGGCTTCGGCAACGTTATGTATTCATTCTTCCGTGAGCAAGACCAACATGAAAAATTTTCAATTTTTAGAGGCCCAACCAAAGAATCTACAATAGCGCAGCATTTAGTTCATAGTTGTAGAACGTGTTATATCAAGATATTGCCTAAGTCCGCTCGCACGAGCAACATCTAATGCTGTTAATGAGGCTTTAAATACAGAATGTATGAGCGTGCATGTAGAAAGATCGTAAAATTAAGCATGACCGCAACTGAAATGGGTAACGCTTGACAACATTTAGGGAATGTCCATTCGTTAACGAAGAGTTTGTAATCAACTGTGGAGGGTGCACAGCATTGCAGCAGGTCAGGAAAGATACTCAAGCGCTGGCTCTAACCTCAGCTGATCATTTTAGGCGCGAATAACCAAATGGATGAACAGCTGTGATCAGCCAAACAGACCTGTTGTGCTGTTCTCGTCCTCCTCCTTTTCGCCTTGCTATCAGAAAATCTGCGAGAAACTCATAGTCATAGGGACAGATGGAGGTGAGATTCTTAGGCATAATAGTTATGGTATCTTAAGGGATGCTCGTCCGTCGTTTAGATGATTCGCTTGCTCTCGTAGAGCTATTCCATCAAAACAATACTGTAGCAAGATCAGAATCGGACTGTCGTTATGTGAACTCGCGCTATCGATATGAGTGCCCAACACTAATGTCGTCAGAAGGATATGAGCTTCGATCGCTTTCCCCCAACCCTAAAAAAGGTGACAGACAACATCCTACGGTAAGCAGTTGCCGGACGTTGTCATAATCATATTTTAGTTCTTGCGCGAGAAGCAACTATTCAAGTGTCTTGGAAAAGCACATTTATCACAGGTAAGATCAAAACGGTCTTGAAACTTTTATAACAAATAAAGAAAATTCAGATGTATTGGATCCCTTGAATGATTACACATTGGCGATATCCAAAGAACTAGGCAGAGTAATCTGTATTACAGGAACTGCGTACGACCGCAATTTTGATGGGATCGCTGACAAAGAAAGACGGTCTGCTTGTTAATTGATAACAGCATTTCAATCTATTTCAAAGCTCTAAGAAAACTTCATTGCTTTTCGAATGCCTCATTTCCAAATACTGCTTTAAGAGGTTCTCCTTCTCATCTTTATCGCATCCTCATTGCATGTTCATCCGGTTGGTCATCAGATGGATTCACTTGCACACATGCGCGAAGCACCAAAGTGCTTGCTTTTATATTTCCACACATGGATCGCGATGCTAACTGCTTGGTAGGTGATCCAGCAAAATTAGGAAAGAAATTGTGTTAGGGCGTGACTATGTACTTGCTAAAAGATTGGAAATGGTCACAGTTTTTTTTTTCAGCCGTCCCGCGAACTTCTTTTGCTTTACACAGCACGACTAAAGGATGTGGAGTTAATAGCAGGAATGGACATAGATCTGCCAGGTGTTTCAGCAACTCATGCACTGTATTTAAAAGTCAGTGTTGTCAATCACTTATGGTAGCTTATGCTGTCTTATCTTTATTTGGAATAAAAACATAACATACATATGATAGCAAAACTTTGATTAAATGCTTATCGTATTTGAGTTGATGTGAAAACAATGGTTTCTAAAAGTACCTGTCCCTATCTGTGACACTCACCACGAAATGGGATATAATTTATAGCTCTTTCTCTTTCTCTCTCTCTCTCTCTCTCTCTCTCTCTCTCTCTCGAAAAAAGCTTACTTTTGAAAGGAAAGTGCAAGCATAAAAAAACACACCTTTTTTACAATCTAAAGCAGGATCTGTTCAACTAAAAACAAACAGATTTGGTTCCGCCCTTTTCACTTGCTAACCACTGAACAGCTTTCTTAGAAAAATGTTGACAAGTGAATTCAAATTTTGAACATAGTATCTGCCACTTATCCATAAAGGCTTTCATTTTATATTTATGATTTTCGGAGCAGGTTGAGACAACTCTTGTGATTTTCCATCTTCACCTCCTCTTTCCTCTTCTCCCCAGTTCAGCCATAATGAGTTTATCACCAAAGAAACGTGTTTATCTAAGAACAAATATCTTTAGGACCATCCGTTCAACACCTGGGGACAATTTTTGCCTGCTAGAAAAACTACTCTGCAATTAGTGTCCTAAAATGTCCATAAAGTGTGCTGCTTCTGGACAATATATTGAAAGGCGCAGAAAATAATAATAGTTATTATTATTATTTTGTCTTACTTATTCTTTATCAGTTCATGACGCCATGCTTATAAGTTTACTAGGTAAATCAAGCATATTTCTTCGTTGTGATTTCGCCAATATAGAGTAGATTATAATTTTCCAAGTCATTACCATGCCTTGCGCCTCTGGTTTAATTGCTTCACTGATCACAGCGATTGCGACGGTATTTATAGATCACAAAGGTAAGTCCGACTCATGAAGATAAAAGAAGAAAGTTTAAGACGGAAAAATAATCAGTGCTTCCCAAACGCGGCATGTACTCAAGTCAAGGCTGAACGAATATTCTGTCTCTAATGGATGCTCAATCAAAGAAAAAGGCGTAGGGAAGAAATAATTATCGTATAATTATGTATAAGCGAAAAATCAAAGGTGCTGCATTTTTTACTTCCAGAACTCTTTCCTCATTCTTATTACTTCCTATTCTTCATCACGTTGTTCTCGTATGACCATTAGTCAGCTTTAATATGCTTAAACGTAACAATTTGTTAAGATCTGAAAACGATCAAAGAATTGTTGCATTTGAATAGTTTATATTTGTTTTATACGAGTAGGTGAAAAGAGTATCACTAAAGATTTTTATATTTTGGGCATTAGCTAAGATGCGAACATTGTCCGTAAACCCTTCGGATATAATGATTACGTGATTGAATCGCGAAATTTGTCTATACTATATCTTTTAAACAAAGGATAAGCAGTATTCAAATTGAGACTTTATCAAATTTGAAGTATACATGAATATCGCGGTGTCTCGTCTTTTAAACCTATCTTCATCCACATTTTTTGTTGCTCAATCAAAAAATTCCATCAACGTTGGAATTAAGGTTCATTGGAAGAAGTGGTTCTTCTAAAGCATAGCACTCCAAGTATAGCATCTGTTCGGAAACATACACCCTCGCGCGCTACGGGGCAGCGCCAGAGATTACAGCAACAGGAGGAGTTAAACGAGCATAGAAATGGAAGGTTCGACGATTATGGAAATGTGTAGGGTCGTAACCTAATCATGCGCAAGTCTTGCTAAGAGCTCTGGAACATTATCAAATGTTAAAGTATGCAACCGTTTGCCCTTATCATGTTCGAAAGAGCAATTTTTGTACAAAACCGTAACTATTTTGCGGAAAAACCCTCTTGGCTTCATCAACTCAATACTCAAAAATAGAACGATGACAATTGGGGCGATTTCACCTATTATGATAATAACAACATTACCTGAAAACACCAATGACGCCTTTTTCCAATCAACAAACAGAAGCGTCAAGTGATGTGGGTGAGATGGAGTAGTGCCAGTGATTGCTGCTAGTACACGACGAGTCAAAGGATCGAATCCGAGCAGGCGCAATGACGAACAAGAACTCTCTCACTGAATAATTATGTGGCTTACCTACATTATCAGAGCGCGAAGGCAACTTTTGTGACTTAAAATGCATCAACTTTACTATTCGATTATTAAAATATTAGTATTAAAAAAGAGATGTTGTAGATTTTTGTTAAATGTTTTCAATGGTATTTGTTGAAAAGCAACAATAAGAAGGTACTCCACTACTCTACAAGAGCAAGAAAGGAAGAGATATCGTTTGTGGGTCGGGAAAGGGCAGCTAGTTGGGAGTTCGCCTCTAATGCTTACGAAAGACTCATTGTATACAAGCTCACTTTATATCGCCAAATACTGAAACATGCGCTTCTTGAATAATTTTCAAGATAGCATATATCTGTCTTTGCCATTTAGAAGCTTCTAGGTTGTAAATGGTGACGAAAAAACACAAAGTGAATAAATAAAGCATAGGCTTAACGACGATTTTTACTGGGTAAGAACTAATGAGCTTATGTTTGATATATAGCATCCTCTTCGTGTTATAAAACTAGAGAATGGAAGAATAAATTCTTGCTAGATATCTCGTAATTAAGAATAGTGATTGAAGGAAGTCGAGAATTTGAAGAAAATGAGTTAGGCATGTAATGACATCAACTTGTGTCACATACCGGTTTCGGGAACTTACCTAAATTTGTACAGTATCTAAAATTCAAGAGATTCTTATTCTGCGTTATTCGTATAGAGAACGTTATTCGCATTTGGCGATGGATAACGAGACATTTTTCAGCACATTGACTGATTCTCCTTTTCAAGGGTGAAACGATTTTACAGCCTATCTTCAATGTTTATCGCTGACACTGAAACTGGGCTTTGGTCATAAACACAAAAACCTTGTTTTCTATTATAGCTCATGCTCCTCAAATAAACTAAGTTCACGTTATAATTGAGCTCCAGGTCTGTTCTTTTTGTATCGTGTCAGTAATAAAGACGAAAAATTGGTAAGATCAATTTCATATAAATCTGTGCTCCACTGGCTTACAGACATAACTGATTCCTATAAGTCCTATCGGCCAAAAAAACCAGTTGCCTGTAACGATTGTGCTACATGAAATTTCTCAGGGATGATACGTCCTTTTCGGAAAATATTGTCGTCTCTATGGATATACTCGTTGTTTCTGTGTATGCCTTATTGCACTAGTGTAACTAAAAATGAAATTACTTCTAGGCCCAACTCCGTTCCGATTACTGCAAACGTAGCTGTAACAAAATGTTGTTATTGGGAATTTCAGGTAATGAAACAGATACTCAACTAA